TGTGTGTGTGTGTGTGTGTGTATCTATGTGTGCGCTGCGCGTCTGTACTGTTTTTCCATCTCGAGACTCACAAAAGCTACAGGGCTGAAACTTGGGGAATTTAATCTACATGCGTGTACGGGCCCCGATCTCCGAAATGGGCCCTCTTACCCGCGTGGTACCCACGTAAAGGTCTGTGAAAGCTTTTCGCGGGTAAGTCGCTAACTCAGGAATCAGCAAAGCTAAAAAGCTGAAATTCTGCAGGGACTTTCCCTGCCTAGGTAAGCCTTAATGCGCTTCAAACCAGTCTCTGGGTGCGCGTGGTACCCACGTATGGGTCCGTGAAAGTTCTTCGCCGGTAAGTCGCTAATTCGGGAATCAGAAAAGCCAGAAAGCTGAAATTTTACAGGGACGTTACCTGCCTACGTAAGTCTCAACAAGCTCAAACCCAGACGTCGGGTATGCATGGCACCCACGAACGGGCCCGTGAAGTTTTTTCGCGGGTAAGTCACTAACTCAAAAACCTGAAATGCTAGAAGAATGCAATTTTAAGAGGATGTTCCCCGTTCACGTAAGTCTCAACGAGCTCGAACCCAGGCGTCGAGCATTCGTGATACCCACATACGGGTCCGTGGAAGTCTTTTTCGAGTAAATTGCTAACTCAGAAGCCAGGAAAGCTAGAAAGTTGAAATTTTAAGGGAGTGTTTCTTGACTGTTCTGGCGGCCAGTCTTAATTTGTTTAGCTAGAAACATTTGCCGGAAAAACCCGGTGCCGGTAGCGACAAAAACTGCGGGGACCTATGCAGAAAAACACATTTTCGCACGGGCAGCTCGTGCGTTGGCCAGTAATTCTTTTTTTGTTTTACCAATGTAAACGGAGGTTAGTGGACTGATTAGTGTATTTAGTGAAAAGTTAATTGTTTCAGCACTAATCCTAGCAGAGCATGTGTCCACGTGGACTAATCCATTCACGAGGTGGATAGACAAATCGTTGGACTGTATTGTTTATGAGAAAGTGAACGGAACAATGAAGTATTGGCGCCCAGACGAGTGTCCGCCCGGCAATGCTTGCTGCTTCGCAGCGATTGTTTTTGGTAACACCTCTTGCAAACAACTAAATGAAAATTTTCACTAAAATTAATTGAAAACCTAGTGGCATCGCTAACTGCTTGAAAACAATTCTCCCTCCCTCCTTCTTCCCCACCCGTCTCTTATGTACATTTCGCTTTTTCGTCTTCTTTTTGTTTCTTTTATCACTCTTTTCTTATGCTATCTTATTCATGTATATATGTGGTGGGTAAGAAGCTACGCTGTTTTCTCTGTTCATGCCCACATGCTGCGCTCGACCTGTGTTTACAGCTCGGGGATAAAATACAGACCGCATTTGAACATATCCTCTTGCACATGATACTTTGTTCCTTTATGTTGTGAGCAAGTAGCGATCTTGCTCAGCCTTCGAGAACGATCAGTGGATCAAGCGTGCATAATCGAGATCTGGAGTGTGGGTCAGTGTAGTGTAGGACAGTGTGTCGTGGACCACCGAAGCCGTACAAGCCGGTGTCGGGTAGACTGGCATAGTCTGGGATTGTGGGTTATCAGCACCTAACGAATGGACCAAAGTGTGAAGGAAGTGATATTAAGACCGTGCGACCCGGTCAGCACCAGCCGAAGAACTCAAGATCTCGGAGCTCCTTTAATCATTATGAAAGTTATCCTAACAAACACGAACTCAAGTTGTCGCAAAGGACACAACACTTTATCACCTATTCTACTACTTTATTTAAAGGCAAAATGTGCTGTACTTCTTGGCAGCCACAAAACTTGGCCCACTGATTCTGGATACCATACATTTTCAATGTGCCAATCCTCCTCCCTCGCCTGTATTCACAAATATACGTTCGCCACAAAATACTCATTCGCGTGCGACTGCTCTTCTGTTTAACCAAATTTTGTTGCTGCATACTGATGTCAAGTGTACCACATAAGGGCTAGTCTTACGGAAGGTATGCGTGTATGAACATGTTCGCGTGCATTCGCCTACAGGCGCCGTGGTAAGCCGCCCTCGTTATGCAGTTATGCATTTTCTACGTGTAGCGCAGAACGCTGCAAAATGCAACAAAGACGTATATTGCGACGACCCTGTATGTGTGTGTGTGTGTTTATCTATCCGGGTATTTCTACTCGCCAATCACGCAAGTTTTGATGCTGAAATTTTGCCAGTGTGTTTCCTGGCCAAATGCGATCTCGGGGACATGGTATCAAAGTAAATGTGAGATGGATGTGGTGTTCGTTGTGGGGGTACACAGGGAAGCGTTTATTGGACGTAAAAAAAGACAGCAGTCAGCAATCAAAATAATGACTAAACTGGCCTCCATAGGATGGTGGGACGTGATGGGCTCTGCCAAATTCCCGTTAGGGCCAGTCGATGAGTGAGACGATGCGAAGAGTCGAGTTATGAGTTGAAGAGAGACGTGAAGCACCAATTCGGAGTCGAGACCAGGACCAAGAGTGAGGGGAAAGAGGGTTTATGTACAGTCTAAAGGATCCACCCCGGAAGTGAAGGAATGTTCCTTCTTTCCAGTGATGAAGACCCAAAAAGCCCAAACAGACGAGTTAAAAAAAGTTGTTGACCAAGAAAAGAATGGAATTGAAAGAAATGTGAAGATCGGTAAGATTAAGATGGGATAGCGAACTGGGTTACTGTAATAAGTCATGAAAAGAATGAAACAGAAATAGCATAAAAACTATATATAACACATTTGTGCCTATTTATATCAACTTTCACGCACGTCTACGCCCCACGTGTGGACACATGAAGGTTTTGGCGGGAAAATTGCTAACTTGGGAACGAGAAAAGCTAGGAAGCTAAAAATTTAGGGCAATGTTTCCCATTCGCACACAACTAAAAGACTTGAAATTCAGCTCACTAGAACCGCCAGGGATTCTCGTACGGACAGGTGAGAGTTTTTGTGGGAAAATTGCTAATTAGGTTGCAGCCTCCAGGTCAATCCTGGAGGTAGAGATGATGAGATGTGGAAGTAAACAAGAGTAGTATAGGTAGGGAGTAAGCGCAAGCTAAGACGTTTCGGTCCATTAAGTCATATACGTCTTAACCCGCCACTGCGACTGGACCTTGTCAGTATGACGGTCGTAGTGCGTATGGAAGAAGGAAAAAAGAAAAAAGAAAGCGATGGACGTGTGGAGGTAACGAAAGAGTATTTGAGAAGACAGAGGTAGTGAGGAAGAGGAGGTAAGGAACATTGGAGGGGTGGAGAGAAGAGGGGAAGGGGGGGTTAAGGACAGAAGCGTATTAGTAGGAAGGCATAAAAGTAAAAATCAAAAATATAAAAGGTAAAAAATTAAGAGTTTTTGGGATTTAAAAAAAAAAATGCTTAAGATTTGGAAAAATTAGAAGGGTAATGGCAAGCCTCAGTGGTGGGGGTTTTGCCATTGATATTATCGTCCCCAATTTGCTTGTTACGCTTGCCGGAGGCCATATCTGGAATTTGAAAGCAAATATGCGAGGTACGTGAATGTAAATATACGTAAGCAAATAACATGACGCCGTAGGTTAAACAGCAGTGAAGAGTATTAGGTTACGCGAATAAGCCACGTAGCAGACGGTGACAATACGGGGCGGTAGGGGGAAAAAATTTGGAGAGTTGTAATCAGTTCCTGTTATGGAAGTACGGACTAATCGTTGAAGACGATCAGGAGGGAAACCTTTAGCGCTGTAATTAATGAAGAGACGCTGTGCCGAACGATACATAAATAGCGAATCAGCTGGCTATATATAGTTCCGTCGTGAATCGATGGGTGTACGTTGCTGTGGAAGGAACAGAACCTATTGATAGGGAAAGTGAAGTAGTGACTTTTGCAATAAAGAGTAGACATTATGTAGCCTTCTTCGTGTATGGAAAGGGTCATGTCTAAGTAGTCAACGGAATTACCGGAACCAGTGATTTCGATGTCCAGGTGTTGGCCATATACCTGTGATAGAGGGAGATGAGGATCCGTGCAGTTAAGCATGAGTACATCGTCGACGTATCGACACAGCAGGACAGGATGGTTGCTGGGAATCCAGCTGAACTTGAACTCAAGCACTGAGAGGGTGAGATCGGCGATGTCGGAGCTAGCGTTTCTGCCCATGGGGATACCATTGGCTTGCCGAAAGATGTAGCCGCTGAAACGTACATAGGCTTCGCCAACGACCGTGCGCAGCATACTGCCGATTTCCGAAGAAGAGTAGGTTGTACCGTGACCAAATCCTGTTGCATGGTTGACATAATGAATAGTCTTGGTGGTGACATGTAAACTGTCGGCGTGGGCGTTGTGAAAGCATAAGGAAAAAAGACAACCTAGTGCGTCGTAAATGACGTGATGAGGGAGTTTTGTGAACAAAG